CCATCCCTTCTCTCTCACCCTCCGCTAAACCCCTCACCCAGCTCTAGGGAGACACTTTTCAGCGGAGAAGGGAGGGATGGAAAGAGCGAGAGAAAAGAAGAGAAGCTCTCCTCCTCTCTGCTGCCACAGCGGCTGGGCTACAGAAGCCTTTGATGTTCTGCAAATTTCAAATTTCATTATAGACAACCCCCCCCCACACCCCTCTCCTTCTACACTCTGCCACCCCACCCTGCCTCCCCCTTACCCACTCCCTCTCACGCTTAAACAAGCTTTTCTGCCTCCCTCTCTTACCCCCACCGAAACCTCCCCCTCAGTGCTGAAGTTAAGGAAGTGAAAGCCGTGCAGTGGAGACTCTTCATTGGGGTTAATTATTAAATGGACGGTGCCTGTACATGTCAGATGTATATTTATGTGTCAGTGTGTACATGTGTGACTCACGGGGCTGGCGGCGAGGTGGAATCTGAATTTTTTTGGTAATGCCTGTCTTATCTCTGGTGGTCTCATTTCYCCTCCTCCCACTATATCTTGTCACTTTAGTTGGCCTTTTTAGGATAAAATGCGTAAACTCAACCCCAGTCCCAAAAAGCCGGCAAGTCTTCATCTTTCCCCGACTCAGGCAACCATTTCAGGGTGGGACGCTGCCATTTTGGTTCAGTGTGTGTCAGCTGCTTGAAGAAGATGTGCGTCCCAGTGGCCCTCAGATGGAACTGGGGTGTTGCTAAAGTGGTTGACAGATCGGTGGTGTCAGCAGCGTCGGCGGGGAGAGAAAATGAAGGAATGAAAGAGAAGGAAGGAAATGTCAGAACGTGGCTGTGCTTCTCCATGCCTGAAAAAAGTGTATTTTGTGAAAATCTGCAGTGAAGTGGATAAAGGTTTCCAGCTTTTTCTTGTCATCACCGTGACAAAAATGATCAATTTCACAAACAACAACCTTTTAACGTCTCCTTTTTTTTTTCCTCCACCGTAATATGAACAGCGGGCCTTTTCAGMTTGGTTTTAAATGCTCACAACATGACCTATTTAAGGACGTTCACTCTTCAAATTTTAGGAGATTTTAAAAGTGTGTTGTCATCATTAAAATAATTGCTTTAAAAGAATTTGAATCTCAGGTAAACAAAGACATATCGGTCAACACTTACACACGTGGACAAAATTATTGGTAAAACCCACAATGGTCACAGAAATAACTTGAATCTGACAAAATTATTGTATTTATTCACGTATACTACGATCTCGAGTATAATATGATCATCATTTTTTGAGCTTAAAAAGCATTAAAAAATCTATTCATCAATAACCTGTGTATAATACTACCCCCCCCCACACACACACACACACTTTATGAAGATTTTTATGTAAATAAAAATTCTATGAAAATGAACTAATGAAATTCAGACACTGCTTTTCAGCCAAGCTTCAACAGAATGTTTTTCAAATAAACAGGCCTGGACAGAAATGATGGTACTCCTGAAAATAATGTGACCATGGGACATGTTTAATTAAGGTGTGTCCACTAATTAGCATCACAGGTGTCAACAGTCTTGTAATCAGTCAGTGGGCCTGTATATAGGGCTACAGATATTCACTGTGCTGTTTGGTGACATGGRGTGGACCACACTCATCATGGACCAGAAGAAGCAAAGGAAAGAGTTGTCTCAGGAAATTAGAAAGGAAATTATAGACAAGCATGTTAAAGGTAAAGGTTATGAGACCATCTCCAAGCAGCTTGATGTTCCTGTGACTACAGTTGCACAAATTATTCAGAAATTTAAGATCCATGGGACTGTAGTCAACCTCCCTTGACATGCCCACAGGAGGAAAACTGATGACAAATCGAAGAGATGGCTAATACGAATGGTAACAAAAGAGCCCAGAAAAACTTTTAAAGAGATGAAAGGTGAATTTCAAGCTCAAGGAACATCGGTGTCAGATCGGACCATCTGCCGTTTTTAATGGGAGGTGACCAAGGAGGACACCAAATCTTAAAATCAGCCAGACTGGAATTTGCCAAACTACATCTCGACAAGCCACAAAGCTCCTGGGAGAATGTCCTCTGGACAGATGAGACAAAAATGGAACTTTTTGGCAAGGCACATCAGCTCTGTGTTCACAGAGGGAAAAATGAAGCATCAAGAAAAGAACACTGTCCCTACTGTGAAACATGGAGGCTCTGCTATGTTCTGGGGCTGCTTTGCTGCATCTGACACAGGGTGTCTTGAATCTGTGCAGGGTACAATGAAATGTCAAGACTATTCTAGAGAGAAATGTGCTACCCAGTGTCAGAATGCTTGGTCTCAGTCGCAGGTCATGGGTCTTGCAGCAGGATAATGACACAAAACACAGATAAAAACACTGAAMAGTGGCTAAGAGGAAAACACTGGATTACTCTGAAGTGGCCRTCTATGAGCCCTGACCTAAATCTTATTGAGCATCTTTGGAAAGAGCTGAAACATGCCGTCTGGTGAAGGCACCCTGCAAACCTGAGACAACTGGAGCAGTTTGCTCATGAGGAGTGGACCAAAATACCTGCTGAGGTGCAGAAGTCAATGACAGTTACAGGAATCGTTTGATTGCCTCAAAAGTTGTGCAACAAAATATTAAATTAAAAAGGTACCATCATTTATGTCCAGGCCTGTTTCATGAGTTTATTTTTTTAAAATCTGTTAATGCATGATTGAAGAAAAATGTCTGACTTTCATTTGTTCATTTTCATAGAATTTTTATTATTACTTTTGTCAGATTTAAGTCATTTCTGTGACCATTATGGGTTTTACCAACAATTTCGTCCAAGTGTGTATATACGTTTATTCAGCTCGGTAATGCTTTTGTTTCTTGTATTTTTGTCTCCATTTGTATGTGTGTTAATTGTCCAGGTGCAAGTATCTCGTTTTATGGATACAAAGTGTAAAGTGTACAACAAAGAATAAAAGTGGCAAAGTGAAGAGAAAGATAAATTTTACCAAAATTTACTAACTAAATTTTCATGAATATGGTAATTTTATTTGTCTTTATGTAAAGTAAAATATACAGAGTGAACCAGGCTTTTGGATTTGGGCAGCAGATGCAGATGTAAATAGGGTCATAGTTTCTTTGTTGATGATTACACTTTACCCAACCCCCCTGTTTTGTGATGGCTGTTTTCACCTGAAAACACTGTAAAGGTGAGCAGCATTTAAACCTGTGTGTGTGTGTGAGTGTGTGTGTGTGTGTGTGTGTGTGTGTGTGTGTGAGAGAGAGAGAGAGACAGGGTCAGCTTCAGCTGACAGCCTGTCATCGTTGACTCTGACTCTTCTTCCCTCTTTAGCTTTTGTTTTTTCTGCTGTCCTCCCCCTTTCTCCACACTCCACTATTCCCAGCTGCCTCTCCTCTCCTCCCCTAACCTCTGACCCCAGCCCAAGGCCAAGGTTGGGAGGTTGTTACCACAGCAACATAACAGCCCCCACGGTTTGTGACAGCTGACCCCTCGGAGCCCAGAGTCGCRGTGTCAATGATCATTTGTTCCCCTCTGAAACCTCTTCAGCTCATCTGTGAATATAATTTAGGAAGGAAAACAGAGAAAACCCTAACAGAAGAGTGGATGGACGGACAGATGGACTGACAGAACTAAGGGGGGACGCGTGTGCTGCTGAAAGAAGCAATCTGAAAATCATTTAGGATGACCCATTGACCTTCTTTCTCTTTTTTAGCTTAAYAAGGAGGGTGTCACTGAGTGCATGTAGATAAATGTGATAAACAGAGCTGGTTTTGGAATCACAACACAAACTTTTTATTGTTATTTAAATAACTGGGACAATCTTATTTAATGACTAAAAAGATTTTCTTGAATTTTACGGTTTTACTTTTTAGTTTGATAGATTTAATCTAGTTATTGACAAGATCAAATGAACTAAATATTAAGTACMCTGAGTGTAAAATAKGGATGATGCATTTAATATATATATTGTTATYCTGATGATATTCAGTTGMACATCTCGTTTTCTCCACATGAAGTTACAAAAGTGTGTCTTTTACTWCGTTGTTTGGATTCCATAAAGAGCTGGATGACTGAGAGTTTTCTTCAGTTAAATGAAGATAAAACAGGTTATTATTTTTGTGCCAGATAAAATAATTCCAGCGATAAAGCAGATCCTTGGGCCTCTTGGCAGTCTGGCAAAATCTTCATTTAGAAACCTTGGGAAGATTTTTGATTCTGGTCTTACACTGGATCATCATGTTAAAACTTTGTTCGTTCCTGTTTCTACCATCTATGAAATATAGCAAAGCTCAGCCCCATTGTATCTCGTTCAGAAATGGAAACTTTACTTCATGTTTTTGTTTCATCTCGTTTAGATTATTGTAATGCATTGTATYCATGCCTAACTAAAACCTCTCTTGACCGGTTACAGTCTGTGCAGAATGCAGKTGCCAGGCTCCTGACTAGATCTTCTAAGTTTTGTCATGTGACTCCACTCTTAATGCAACTTCATTGGCTCCCAGTTRATCATCGAGTGAAATTCAAGATTTTGGTTTTGACTTGGCGAGCTCTGCATGGTCAGACACCACACTACATTTCTGAACTTTTACATTTTTACACTCCTGTCAGGGCTCTGAGGTCTTGTGATAAAGACATGCTGATTGTTCCTCGGACAAAGTTAAAGACTAAAGGAGACAGTGCTTTTTTGTCTGTGGCTCCAAGGCTTTGGAACTCTCTTCCTCTGAATTTAAGATCAGCAGACTCCTTTAAAGCTCAGTTAAAAACTTATCTTTTTAAATCTGCATTTGTTTGAATTTGCTCTGTCTATTTTTATTTTATTTTATTTTTGTTTATGTTTTTTGAAGCACTTTGTGATCCCTATCTTGAAATGTGCTGTATAAATAGTTTTACTTACTTACTTACTATATACATAATTTCAAATAGTGCTGCTTATTATGAGATATTCTGCCAGATATGGTTTGTTTAGGTGTAAAATCATGCTTGAATAAATAAAAGAATAAACACTTTTGGAATGTGTGTGTTTTACCTGCTGGAAGACCCCTTTACTCTTCAGAGCGAGTTCCTGTTGAGTGGGGTTGGATGTGTAAATGACTGAACGATACTGTGTACCGACGTCATTATGCTGCTTCATGCCTACATATAAACACAAACAAAGAAAATCAAGACCCCAGTAAAAGCATAAATGCTACAATCACATCAGACATAACGTCATTTGCATGCAAAGGAGTTCCACAAACACGGCATCATTCTGCAGCTTCGAATTAAAAAGCTGAAAAAAAAWATCGAAGATCACAGCAGATTTGGCTTTCTTTAGTGGTGGCCTCATTTAGGTGTACGAGCTAATCGAGGTGCATTTTCTTTCTCGTTTTCATCTAGGTGCCACTGACAAAATTTTCATCAGCTTTACATCAGTGGATCTGGAAGAAGCCCAAGTCTAGTGTACCTTGATTAGAGAGCTAAATGGCTGCCGTCACCTCTAAGCTTTTCACATGCTACAATCCTGAGGAGCTCTGGCATCAATGAAGGCATCAATGGCAGGCCTCTCTCTCTGTTATTATCTCTCACACTGCATTGCCCCTAAGGGTTTGTTTCTTGTTTTTGCTGAAGAGTGCCATTCTTTTGCTTCGTCTCTCGCTGTAAATCCTTGTGTTTCTCGGTGTTTGGCCTTTTGTTACTAGAGCTGCAGCCAGTGGAGTCTGAAACAGACATGCCTTTCAGCTGTCTGACAGCACCATCGGATTAGTTTATTTAAACTATACAGCTTGCTCCTCTTCCATACGCCACAATCAGTGACTTGGTAAACTACTGCGAACTTAGGGATTACGTATTAATACAATCTTATAAAAGATGCTGTAAATTCAAAACCTGTTTAAATGCTTTAGCTTTTTTCCCCTACACCTCAATGAATTTTTGGTACACATCAAGTTATAAACAACACTGAAAACTAATCACCTTATAAAGTTGTTAACATCTTGGCAAACGGTTGCTTGTTTATCCATCAAACAAACAGCTACATTGGCAATCACTTGGAGTGTTTGTGCTCGTCCAACAAATCTGAGTTTGAACGCTCCATCTCCTTTTAGCTCCGTTTTGCTTTTCTCAAACTCCTAAGGGGAATAGCCAACTTTTCAGCGGGTAGTAATAGTTGCTGAGAGTCTTCATCTTCTGTTTGGTGCTTGGCAGGTAGCGTACTGTAGCTTCTTTCAAAGAGTTATCTTTGTCACCATATGCTGAGGCTCCAAATGAAAAGTGGTAACAATAAAACCAAATTGTTAAGTTCTGTGCTACACAGATGATAATTACCTACTGGTTTTTCACCAACTGACATCTTTCACATTATGCTCAATTTCTAAAAATAACATGGAATATGATCATATAAGAGTAGACAGACAGACATGTTGAAACATTTATTCTGCTTTTTTACTTCTTATAGACAGAAATGCATGCCAAACCCTCAAACTCCTAACTTAAGTTTTATTTTTTATTTGTTTTAGTTTTTTCCAGACTTACAACACATCTGGATTGCTTTTATCAATTTCCTCCTACAACTAACAGTCTAGATATATTTTGTTTAACATTACCCCCTCCAGCACTTTTTCTTTATCACATTTAAACCACAAAAGCATTTAATATTGTTGAAGAGCTGTTCAGTGAAGCAAATTCTCTGAGGCAGCAACATCAGTTATTGTGCGTTTATTCAGCATGTGTCAGAGAGCAGGCGCTGTCTGCTCTGATTTGAATGAAGACAAGATAAATACGTATGGCCGTTCTGCTTGAACGGGCCTTGTCGTAGATAGGTTGTGACACTCTATGATGTAAGGTAACATTTAATATAAAGAGAACAAGATATGCAGATCACTGTGTCAGGGAGATGTGCTGTGTCAGTGGAGTTATTTACCCATGATGTAAAGAGAAAGCGAGCAAAAAGAGCACAGATAATACACAAAAGCAGGGGCGACTTAGAACATGATGATTTGCAAAGTTGTACAATTTTGTAGCATAAGATGAACATTTGTCAGTATCCAATGTATCAATGATTACAGGGCGTTCTGTAAAATGCAGAAACAGTGAAAAGAAAGATGTGATTGACGGATGTGGATCCAAGCCAAGATAAAGGGTGGATTTGGAGTGCAATATTAAAATTACTAGAAGTGTCTACAGCACTCACTTTTGTTTTCACGTTTCAAAACTCACTCCAAGTGTCATAATACTTTCTCTTCTTCCTGACTTCAAAGAACTTTGTTAAATATGCATTGACCTTGTCAGGGTGTGAAGGTATAAACCTTAAACGCAAAGCTTTTTAAATAAAATATATGTGTTTCATTTGCAAACACTTTTAATGTGTTTTTTAAAAAAGGTCAACTTCTTTAATCATTGCCCCTGTTAGTCCATAACATGCACACAGATTTCTTTATATTAGTGTTTCATTAACTCACACATGGTCATGCATCCCTGTGAAGGAAATTTTGTGACTGATTAACATAATTTTAGATACAGTCTTATATCAGTCATTTACTTTAAACAGTGATAGAATCAACATGTTTCTACTGCAGGAAAAACAAAGACTTGCTTAAGATTTCTAGTATATCAGTGCTGACGTAAAAAAGAGTGGTGTGACCAGGATGTTCTATTACTTGTTTTGGTTTGTATGGCCACATAGAGACTTTAGAATAACCAGCAGCAGGAGAGAGAAGCCATTGTTTTGTTTGGTGCTGATTAGGCTCAGGGTCACACACAGATACTCTGAGCATGAATCGAGTTTTTAGATCTGAAGAATAAAGCTTTGTAAACTGGGAACTAACATGGGTTTCTGCACAATTATTCGGGCATCCAATTTTTGAACACTTTCTTACACCTGCTTTGCCCCAAATATGATTCAAATCCTGATAATGAATCATAATGAGTCATTTCATMAAAGATACATAAGCAGAAACAAACAATACAAGTCAGCCTTTAATCACAATACAGTTCAATTCAACYTGAGTTTTGATTTATTACACTCAGTACAACAAAACACAGGAATGATTTGAAATCATTTGAGAAAAATTATTTCCCAGAAAATAAAAAAGGCTGCTCACAAACAGGTTTTCTTTTAACATGTCATTACACAATACTAACAACAATACACAATTGTTTTTTTTCTTGAATACTGAATTTATGTTGATTTGTTTTAAATGAATAAACTTTATAATTATAATTTGAAAAAAATACAGTATGTGTTTATAAACAGTATGTGTTCGACACTCTTTCTTTGACGCATAGGTGAGCAGCAAAATGTATTATCTACATTACAAAAAACAAAACTATTACTTTCTGGAATATCAGTTGARCCACATGAGAGGTGAAGCACACTCGGGGTTTGTTGCCGTTTATACTAGCACTACTGCAGTTCTCTTCTTGAACAGTAGGCCTTGCTAATAAAAAATAAAATACAGCTAAATAACAGAAAGAGTAGCCTAGTAAAAACCAGCCCCTTGATCAATGTTTTGCCTCGTACAGAGGGTCTGGACACTCGGCCARTGAGAAACGATTGCTGGCTGGAAGCGTGGACTCTGTTGAAGTTTAAAACAATGATTTTACCCAATCGCTAACATTTGGCCGTGACGTATGTAATGGCCAGCTCAACCGCGAAGGAAGCTAAGCTAAGAAGCTAACCGGAAATTGCATGTACTGTAAACAACCATCTGCTACTAGGAAGAGGGGAGTACTAACCTGAACGAGATGGCTGTAAATCAGTGCTGCAGGTTTTATGAGACAACTTTAATTTAATTTGGAAGCCTTGTCAACATGGAATGAATGGTTGTATTCATTTTCTGGGCTGTCATTGCTGAACTACAAGCAGACTAAAATGGCACAGAAAATCGACAWCATCGTTCAAGACTCCTCCTCCTGTTCACTGATGGAGCAGAGAAGAGAAACTAGAACTGAGTGGAAAACAAGGACCAGGCTACAGGAAGAGCAACCAAAAGAGGAGTTAAATACTAAAATAAGTGAAGACAGGGCATTCTTCCTTTATACACACWAATGTAACTATATTTTTATTTTTTACTTTTTCTCAGATAAATGCCCGTAGAAATTAACCTTTTTTGCAGGCTCTTCTTCTAATCATTAAATTGCAAAAGGACTGAACTTATTTAGCGCTTTATCAAGTCCCTCCGGACCCCAAAGCGCTTTACACTTACAGACATTCACCCATGCACACACATTCACACGCTGTAGGGTAAGCTACACTGTAGCCACAGCTGCCCTGGGGCATGCTGACAGGGGTGGGGCTGCCATGCACCGGTGCCARCGGATCCTCTGACCACCATCAGTAGGCAAGGCGGGTGAAGTGTGCCCAAGGCCACGACTGAGACGGCTGGAATGGGGGATCGAACCAGCGACCTTCCGGTTGTGGGACAACTCCCCTAACCACTCCACCACAGCCACCCCTAATATATGAAATTTCATCAYTATAAGTATGTGACAAACCAATGCATCAGTTCATGTTATTCTGTGAATCAGCTGTGGAGGAGACAATTAATTTGTACTGATTCARGGATGTGAACATGAATGTTGCATTTTTTGGGTCAGGTGCTCCACTGTATTTAAGTCAAGGTTCTATAATTTACACTTCATACTAAAAGGTGGCAATATTGTGCTGGTTTGGTAACTATAATTAAAAGATGAGCAGAGAAGAAATTTGACTGACTTCTCACTGAACCTTTCATGCAGTTTTTGTGTCCTTGTGGTGCCTGTGTGATAAATTAAATATGGATTGCAGTAAATCTCATCATGCAGCATTTCCTCAAAACAACCTTTGTCGTTTTTCTTTCTCTGCTTGTGGTTTGACTCTGGATCGTCTCTGTTTGTTGTGTGTTTAGTGCCACCTTATGAATAGGAGTTTTGTTCTCYTACATTCACTGTCAGCAAACAGTCCACGCAGCCACAAATATCTGGGCTACATGTTTGTTGGCTGATGAATCTGGTGAATACCAATTGACAGGTAAAYATGACAAAATTTATGTCACAAGTTTTATGTTTGGGTTCACAGTCAAGCAAATGCAAAATAATAAATTCAGGCTAAATGAAAGCTTAAAAAAAGAATCAAAAAACAAAATGCAGGTGATTGAAACAAAGGAACATTTTTTTAC